GAGGGAGGGAGGGAGGGAGGGAGGGAAGGGCAGGAGGCAAATCGAGGACAGGGAGGCTTCTTGCTTCTTTCTTCTCCCCTCCCTTGTACCGCAAAGAATGAAGTGGAAAGGAGGAAGGGAGGGAGGAAGGGAGGGAGGGAGGTCATGCGGGAGGAAGGGAAGGAGAAGAGAATGGAAATCAAAGGTTGCATTCGGGTTGTACAGGTCTTGCGTGAGCCCATGTGTCACGCCCGAAAATGGTACTTCTCTGTCGCAGATACCTCAAGAAAGTCTGGCATTGTATCCGTAGGGCATATATTGCATGTACCTCAGGAAATCTACAACTTGGAATCCATCGCACGTACGTAGTGGGAGCGGGATAGGGTGAGGGGGAGGGTCAACGGACGATGACGCGTACGCTGAAAAGGCCCTCAGATTCATGGTAGGATGGCGCGGAGACGACCTCAATGGATGAGAGACGGATGATGGGAGGAAGATCAGTGCCAAGCGGGGGCCAAGGCAGGAGAGGGAGGAAGGAGGGCTTTCCTGTCAGAGCCCGCTACAGTTGAAGGAAGAAGAGGTGCGCAGGTAACAAAGAATGACGACGAGACACAGAGACGAGAGTGGGAGCACGTTGGTCATAGCGTGTGGAGGTGGAGTGGGAGAGAATCTTTTACAGAAACTGTTTTTTGATTGTTGCGGGGGGCAGGGGTACGGAGGGAGGGAAGGGAGAAACGCAGGTCTTGACCAACTTGGTCAGAGCCCGTTCCCATCCCTCTCTTCATCCTTGCCAATGATCCACAACGCTTTATGAGCCGGTATTTCCTATCGATGGACGGTTCTGTCACACTCCAGGGAGGACCTTGATACCACTTTTGAAAGGGGACTTGGGCGGTCGCCTGCGCTGACAAGGTTGACCCTGCGCGGCAAGATCCGGAAGGTTCGCCTCTTTGACCCTAAGTAGCCTTAATTCTCCAACGTCCTGAAGAAGGATGTACCCGTGTTCGCTCTGTTTCACCCTTTCTCCAGACAACAACACGCGTGTGGGCTGACGACACGGGTCGAAGCACCTTCCTTCTCACCTTCCAGTCACCACCGACGCCCTTGTCGTAACCTCGCCCCTAACCCTAACGCTACCTCTAGCCCTAATCCTAAGAGAAACAAACACTGACGCTAACGCTAACATTTGGCCATCGATATCACTCCATCCACGGAAAATTATTCATAAAATTATGTAAATTTTTATAGATATAAATTACTTACGTATGTACAAAACACAATTATTCATGTATAGAATATCATACTGTTAAACCGGACTGGGAAAGGACAACGTACCTTTTGCTACATTTATTTTCCAAGTTGTCATAAGTGCAACAAAATTAATAAGAAGCTATTCGATTTTATTCACAAAAAACGGTTATGCATGTATTAGACTAAAATATATATATATAGACATGTATTCTTTTAGCCTTCCTCGCCGAAGCCCCCTTCCCCAACGAATATGCACATCGCATATTTTTGCTTCTCTAACAAATTATTAGTAGAAACATTTACCCTACCTAAGAGATCAGCAACCCGCCTTGAAATTGCACTCACAATAAGATGTAACAGCAGAATAGGCGGCCATTCGACGATACTATTCATTTCTCTTTACAAGGCACGAAAAGATATAGGGTTATGAAACGACCACATTTCGATGCTCCTCAACTCATGTCCCTGTAAAGTTGATCGTAATATTCATTTATTTCTGTAAGGCATATAAAAGCCTGTCAATTTTCCTTAATGTGCAACCAAAAGCCGCATACAAGTTTAAATCGGTAAACCGGGAAAGAGGCGATTGTTACTAGCATCAAGGGGTGAGCGCCCAACTTGAGGACTAGATAGACACTTTTATGATTCTGCCTGGTATAGTGCCAGTCCTGTATAGAGGACATAGAAAAACTCATCAACAACCCACGGATTATGAAGTTCAATGGCCCTCTGTATTTCTTCTAGGTCTTAGCTTACCCGAAATACGCATAGTTCCCGCTTAGAGCCGACGTACTTAGGCTATCTTCAGCAGAGTTGAAGGTCACACTGTCCACACGAGTGAAGTCAGTGAGAGTCACCTTCACCACTCTGCCTGGACTAGTATTAGTCCTGTGTATAGAGTGCGTTCATCAACAACTTAGAGATTATGGAGAGCTCCAGTACTTTGCGTTCCTCTCTAGCCTTCTCTTACCCGAAATACGCATAGTCTCCGCTCACAAACGCCGTGTATAGCTTATTTTCACCCGAACTGAGGGTCAGGCTGCTCACTCGAATGACGTCAGTGAGATTTACTTTCACCACTCTGCCTGGACTAGTATCAGTCCTGTGTATAGAGTGAGTTCATCAACAACTTAGAGATTATGGAGGGCTCCAGCACTTTGCGTTCCTCTCTAGCCTTTTCTTACCCGAAATACGCATAGTCTCCGCTCACAAACACCGAGCGTATGAGATTTTCATCTGAGTTGAAAGTGAGGTTGCCCACTCGAGTGAAGTCGGCGAGGTTCACCTTCACGACATTGCCTGGACTAGTATTAGTCCTGCACATAGGGTGGCCAAGATCATCAGCATCTTGAAGGACATGAAGTCCGTTGGTGCTGTGCACCTCTTCGAAGCCTTGACTTATCCCGAAATACGCATAGTTCCAGCTCACAATCGATGTTCTTAGGGAATTTTCATTCATGTTCAGAGTGAGGTCGTCCGCTCGAGTAAGGTCGGTGAGATTCACCTTCACCACTATGCCTGGACTAGTATTAGTTCTGTTTATAGGGTGAGTTCATCAACAACTTAGAGAGCATGGATGTCTACAGCACTTTGCACTGCTTTGTAGCCTTTGCTTACCCGAAATACGCATAGTCTCCGCTCACAACCGATGTCAAAAGACACTTGTCATTTGTGTTAAGAGTCAAGCTATTCACGTTAGTGAAGTCAATCAAATTGATCTTCAACACTTTGCCTGGCTTAGTATCAGTCCTGTGCGTAGAATATCGCTAAGCTCATCAGTAACGTAATATACCATGAAGTGCTACAGCACTGTGCATCTCTCAGCCTTTGCTTACCCTAAATATGCATAGCCCCCCCCCAACAAATGACGTTGATGGGTTATTTTTTTCCGAGCTGAGAGTTAGGTTGTCCACTTGAGTGAAGTTGGAAAGATTCACCTGCACTATTTTGCCTGGAGTAGTTTCCATCCTGCGTAAAAGAAATACCCAAGCTCATGATCAACCTTTTAAAAATGCTTTTCTTAGCCCTTACTGACCCGAAATACGCAAAGGCCTCCTTTACAACCGATGTGTCTACGAATCGTTCACCCGATTTGAGAGTGATGCCACTCACACGAGCAAACGTCGGCTGCGCCGTAGGCGCCATGGTCGGTGATTGCATCGGCTGCATCGTATTTTTGTCCTGCCTCGTGAAACCGTTTTAAACCGGCTCATCGCACATTCATCCACAACGCTTCCACAGATCTGCTTCCACAGCAGAAAGAATAGTCATGATGGGATCTATTTGCGATAGCCGCGTTATAGTGTTTTCTCGTCAAAGCTGTATAGTACGCTCTAGTTCGTCTACCTGCATCCGGATGATGGCATTTTCTCTTCTCTCATTAACAAATCAAGTTTGTGATTGTAGCCTGCTAGTGTCGCTCAAGTGAGAATATGAAACTGATAATATTCGAGAGAGATGTGGAATATGAGCATCAAGCCTGATAAAGAAAACAAAAAAGGCTTCACGCCGAATCTGTCCTAAGGGGTGAGTATATGGAAGAAGCAAGGGACAGGATGTTTGCCTGAATCAAAGCATATGTAAACCGTTAGTCTGTTTTTCCTGCATGTTCCTTGCGGGCCACGCATTGATTCTTAGGTGCTGAAGTACCTCAATTCTTTGTTAAAATACTATTTTTGAATATTATTGTAAGCAAGTCCATTTATTTATTAGATAGTTGCCCTTCAAAAAGGCAAGTTGAGTCAAAACACCTTCCTTCTCAGCTACACGTCACCAGCAGCATCCGAATCTTGGCCCGTACCCTAACCCTCACCGTGAACCTCCCTTCTCCGTCCTCCCTTTTCCTTCCTTGTAACTGAGAAGAAAACCAGGAATAGAAACGCTCGTTATTCTACCACCTCGACATTTTCTTCTTTCCACTTTCATCATTTTGAACCCTCCACCGCTTGTAAGTCCCCCTCATCGTTCGACCTGTCCATAGCCCTGGCTTCACCACCTCCCTCCCTGTCTCCTCCTCTTTCCCTGCCATTTTCACATGTGTACAATTTCCTCCTTCCCTCCCTTCCCTCCCTCCCTCTTATTTGCTCCTGCCCTGGCCCTCCCCCCACACGTCTCCGTC